GGTTGCACGACACGGCGAGAAAACGAACATCATGTAGAGGCCTATGGGGAATCATTTTTTTTTCCCTCTGGAGGCCCTCTTAGGGGTTCTCTTTGAGCTGTCCTTGTGGTGTCTCAGAGGCCTTCTGGGCCGCCTTGAGGCCGTATGTATGGCTTTTGAGGCCATCTGGGCGTGTTGGTGCCCTCCTGCGGCCGCCTCTAGGAAAGCATCTTGGGCCTCTTGGAGGCGACGGAAGCTGGATCTGGAGGCTCCTCGAGGTCCCTTGTGGGCGCCGGGGAGCCCGGTAGAGGAGCTCTCTGCCCCCCCCCCTCCCTTGAACGAGATTTTGGACACCTGGGGAGGGAGAAGGGAAGGGGGAGGGGGACAGCCCGCTGTCTCACACGCCTAGCGATCCTCTCCGATAGGTCCCATCCCAGAGACTTCCCATAGATTGTCCGAGGCCCAAGAGTGTCCCTGCAGGGCCCCAGACGCGCCGAAGATGGCACACAAGATGGCCCCCCGCTTGCTCCCCGATATGGCCCCCAAACAGTTTCTCCACGGCCCAGGGACCGCCCCAAGATGGTCCCGAAGACCTCTCCAGACGGACCGAAGACCCCCAAGAGAGCCCCGCCAAGCCTTGGGCGACCCCAAGATGGGGCCCCCAGGCTCCAAATTCAAGATGGTCGCGAGAGGGAGCCAGCCGCCAGCAGCACGAGCGGGCAGGGTAGGCAGCGCCCGCCAGCGGCAGCAGGCAGGAACGGCAAGTGGCAGGGGCACTCGGCAGCAGTAGCACGAATTCTCAGAAGCGAGCGGCAGCACGAATGTTCGGCTTGCAGCAGCACCGAGCGGCAGGAACAAGCAGCAGCATGTGGTGGCAGCAACCAGAATGCCATACCAAGCTGCAAACATGAGCAGCAGTCATCCGCGTGCGCGAGCAAGAGAGTGACACTGCCCATCGCGGGTTTAGTCCACGGGTGCGCGCTAGTCATCAGCTACAACGCTGGGATCAGCGCGTGCCAGAAGGGGACGCAGTGGCAGCGGGCTTTGGGGCTCATCAGCGAGATGCGGGAGGCGAAGTTGGTGCCCGACGTCGCTAATTGCAACGCTGGGATCAGCGCGTGCGAGAAAGGCGAGCAGTGGCAGCGGGCTCTGACTCTGCTCCGCGAGATGTGGGAGGTGAGGTTGAAGCCCGACGTCATCTGCACTCGGTTGCGAGCGAGGGGGGGAAACCAGAAGGAGAAGGCCCTCTCAGAAGGCGGCGGGACTTCTCAGAAGCCCTCGCGCCTTCTGAGAGGTTCCCTGCGCCTTCGGGGAAGGCCTGGAGAACCAGAGGGCCGGGGGACTTCAGAACCCTCTGAGCAGGCCTTCTCCTCCGAGGACTGCGTCTTCCTGAAGCCGGCTCCGGCTCGAAGCGCGTGCTTCTGCAGCCGGATCCGGGCTCGCGAGCACGCGTTATGGTCTCTTTTGGGCCGGGGCCGGCTTCGAAGGCGCGCAGTGCTTTCCCCCCCCCCCCCGTCGCTCGCTGCCGACGCGCTGCGCGCTACCGGGCACCGGGCGTGCCAGAAGGGCCCCGCGAACGCCCCCGGAGCCCCGGCCTCCAGGAGGGCCGGCAGCCGCCTCGGCCTCGCTTCGGGCGCCCCGCCGCCCCGGCCCCAAGGGAACCCCCGGGCACCCCGGAGGGCTCCAAGACGGCCCCGGCCCCAGGACTGGTGGGCCAACTTCCCACCACCGCTACCGAAGGTGGGATGGGGGAGGAGGGAGGTTGGGGAGGTCCTCCTTCTCCTCCTCCTCCTCCTCCTCCTCCTCCTCCTCCTCCTCCTCCTCCTCCTCCTCCTCCTACTGTTCTTTCTCCTCCTAATTGCTGTTCCTTCTCCTCCTCCTCCTCCTTCTCCTCCTCCTTCTCCTCCTCCTCCTCCTTTCTCTCCTACCTATTGTAGCGGTGGTGGAAAATTGGCCCATCAAAGACGGCTCAAGAGCGCCCCAAGAAAGCCCAGAAGGCTTTCAACATGCCCCGAGAAGGCCCCACGAACCCCCACACAGGAGGGGTTCCAGAAGCGGAAGCCATGGATCTTCTTTTGGTTTTCGGAGCCTTCTCTTGCACTCGCGTTCCCTCTGGCCTCAGAACGCCCAAGACGGCCGAACAGTCTTCAGCGATCGCCCCAGAACGGCCCAAGCACCCAAGAGAGCCCCAAGATGGTCCACGTCTGCTCTGGAGGCTGCCATAATCGTCCATGAGGCCCCCAGGACGGCCCCAAGAGGGGGACCCTGATCCCGAGAATACATTCCGAAGGCTTCCACCCGATTCAGCCTCCTCCACGGTCAGCACGCCCCCCCAGGCGCCTCGAAGGATTCCCCGAAGCCCCCGAGAGACCCCCAGAGAGGGCCCGAAGAGGCTTCCAGAAGCCTCGCAGCAACCCTCCAAAAGGCCTTCAAGAGACACCGAGCGGCCTACCAGAGCCCCCAGGACGCATTCCAAGAAGGGCGAAACGCGATCGGAAAGCAAATCGGAGTCGGGCTGGAAGGAAGTTCGGGGACAGGCGACGCGCGCGATCGGAAAACAATTCGGACAATTGGCTTTCGGGAATCCGAGGTGGAGGGGAGCGAGATTGCAAAGCAGATCGGAAATGGGCCGGAAGCAATTTCGAGGAGGGGCGAAAAGCGACGTAGAAACACTTCGGAAACGTGCCAGAAAAGAAATTCGAAGACGGGTCACACACAATCGGAAAGCAGCCTGGATACGGGCCAGGAAAAAAATCGAGAGGGGGGTAACGCGATTGGGCAGCACATCGGCCACGGGTTGGAAGCAAATTCGATGAAGGGGGAAAGGTGGTCGGACAGCAGAACGCACCCACGCGCCCGACGGAGGAGGCAGGCGGAGGAGGAGGAGAAGGAGGAGGAGGAGATGAAATTCGGGGAGGGGGGAACGCGATCGGAAAACGAAGCGGAAGCTGGCCAGAAGCGAGAGGGAACGCGATCGAAGAGCAGATCGGGCCCAGGCCAGAACGAGGTTCCAGGAGGGGGGGAAACGTTCTCGGAGAGCACACTTGAAACGGCCCGGAAGGACATCCGAGGAGGGGCGAAACGTGATCGGACAGCGACAGCACATCGGGAGCAGTCCGTGACATGCGAAGTTCGAGCCCCACGGCTTTCTTGTCGGCCTTTCGGCAGCACGGTCCACAATCACATGCCAGTTCGTGCAGATGTCTTGGACGTGGTCCACGGGTCAGCCCTAGTCTCCCCTACAATGCAGCGTTCGGCGCGTGTGGCAGAGCTTTCGGTGGCATCGAACCGGCCTCCTCCGGGCCGCTCCCAGCAAGCCCTTCGGCGCTCCGGGCCGCCCCGGGCAGCCGATCGCGCAGCGGACGGCCCAAGACCGCTCCAGATCGACGCGGCGCGCCCCGCAGACGGCTCCAGGACGGCTCCAGACGCTCCGAAGCCGCCCCCTGAGGCTTCCGAAAGGACCCCCACGCCGGCGTCGTCGTCGTCGGTGTCGTCGTCGTCGGCGTCGGCGGCGTCGGCGTCGGCGGCGTCGACGTCGTCGGCGTCGTCGACGTCGTCGGCGTCGTCGGCGGCGGCGTCGTCGTCATTGCCGTCGTCGTCGTCGTCGTCGTCGTCGTCGTCGTCGTCGTCGTCGTCGGCGGGCCGCCCCCCCGTTTTTCTCTGGCCGTAAGGCCTCTTAGGGCCACCGAAAAAACAACGGATCCTGCCAGCTGCCTGGCCCGAGCGGCCCTCTTGGGCCTGCGAGCCCAAACTTTTCCTTCAGCGAGAAGGTCGTCGTCGTCGTCGTCGTCGTCGTCGATGCCGCCTCCGGCGACGACGACGACGGCGGCGACAACGACGACGGCCACGGAGAGCCTCAAAAGGCTCCGAGAGTAGTCAACAACCTGTCACAAGCAAGACCCTTTTTCGTGACAGGTTGTTGGAACCTGCCTTACAGGCACTGCCCCCTGTGCTTCGATGGTGGTGATCCACCCCACGGGTACACACTAGTCAGCTACAACGCCGGGATCAGCGCGTGTGGCAAAGGCCGCCAGTGGCTCCAGGCGCTCTCCTTACTCATGGAGCTGTGGAGGGTGAAGTGGATGCCCAGCGAGGTCAGCTACAACGCTGGGATCAGCGCGTGCGAAAGTGAAGAAGGCGAGCTGTGGCACCAGTCGCTGTCGCTGCTCCGCGAGATGCGGGAAGCGAGGCTTGAGCCGGACATCCTCAGCTACGGCGCCGTGGTCAGCGCGTGCGAGAAGTGCGGGCAGTTGTCGCAGGCGCTGTCCTTGCTCGACGAGATGTTGGAGGCCAGGTTCGAATTGGACGTCGTCAGCTATAGCGCTGGGATCACCGTGTGCGGGAAAGGCGGAGAGTGGAAACGGGCGCTCTCTATGTTCGCCGAGATGCGGAACGCGATGCTGGAGTCCAACGTCATCAGCCACAGTGCTGGGATCAACGCGTGCGAGAAATCCGATCAGTGGCAGCGCGCGATGTCGTTGCTGGGCCAGACGTGGAAGCGAAGCCTGGAGCCCAACGTAATATGTTTCAACGCTGGTGCCAGCGCGTGCGAGAAAGGAGGACAGTGGAATCATGCATGGTTCTTGCTCAGTGAGCAACAGCAGGTGCGTTTGGAGCCCGATGCCATTAGCTACAACGCCGCTTTCATGGCGTGCAAGAGAGGCTTGGAGTTGCAGTGGCAGCACGTGCTGGCGTTGCTCAGCGAGGCGTTGGATGCTTATGTGGATTTGGACGTCAATAGCCACGTGATTGGGATCATCGCGTGGGAACAAGGTGGGCAGTGGCAACAGGCGCTGTCTTTCCTAAGGAATTCGCTGCAATTGCAGCTGCAGCCGAATAGCTACATGTTCAGCAGTGCAATCGGCGTGTGCGAGAGAACCGGGAATGTACCTTCTTTGGGAACGTGTGATTTCCGTGTCCACTCGGGGGAATTTTCGGTGGGGGGTGGCTTGAAACCTAGGCGTACAGGATGGACTGCGCGTCTGGCTCGGGAGAGCTGGCCTGCCGGGTGGTACAGATGACTGAGCTGGTCACCGGCCACGCCTCGATGCAATGAGCAGGTGCCAGAAGACGTGGAGTTGTAGCGGGAGGCGCCGCTGCCCAGCATGATTTGAAGCCGAATGTTACCGCCAGTGTGCAGTCTCGGTGTTTCATTCAGCCATGTTAAAGGCACACGTGGAGTTGACGCAGTGTGATTTGGTCAGCGACTCCATGCTGACGCCGGATGTAGCAATTATGCCTCTACCGACCTCGCTAGGTTCATTCGATCCACAGTGGGTTGGCGCGAGCATCAAGTGAGAAGAAGACGAGCCAATCATAATCTGTCATGTCGCACTTCGAGCCGCCGTTTACCAATCTGCGCGCACATGCAATACATCCGTATCATGTTGTTGTATCCTTTGTCGTTCTGCCCACGTCTGGTGATCCTGGTGTTTCAAACGAGCGACGGAGGAGAACGAGGCCGACTGTGCCGACATTCGCGCGTAAGCTGCCCGCGTAAGGTTGCGCGTAAGTGCCTTCGTCTCCAATGTAATGTGCCGCGCTGGCGGTCCGTGTAAGCCACCACGTAAGGTTGCTATGCCTTCTTGCGTCAGGCCCACTCCTGTTCGTCGCTCAAATGCCTTGAATTGCAGGACATTCATTCCAGAACCGCGTACAAGGTCACAAACTATTAACTCGACTTGGACGGCGTTGTCTCGGCGCAGTTGGGAGTGCTATCCAAACCCAGGGTAGCTCTACCTTGCTGTAACCTTTTTTTATATGTGAGAGCGCACTGTATGTGGCTTGGACTTGTTATGATCGGGGCCACCAATTCAGACGCACTGGGCGATTCGTCGGTTGAGTATGTGCCGGTCTTTCGAAGTAACCTGCGAGATGTCTCTTATTTTCGTTGGTCCAGCACTTCAGCACGCGACGCACGGAGTTCAGAACGTTTTGAAAGGATATTGTCAAAAGCCGCGAGTTCAGGTTGAACCTTGTAGCAGAGCGAGGCAAAGCGCAACCTAAGCGGCAACGCCGGCGTAACACTTACCGCAGAGGCCTGCGCCATTCCGCCAGCGACCAGGAGAGGGGATATTCGTCACGATGTCCTCGACCTCCTGGGTGTTCAACGAGGAGGGAAGCGTGGAGGAGGCGCGATAGGGACACAGTCAAGACTCAGGAGGAAAAGAAACACACAGACACAATTAATCTTCGATTCCCCAGAGAATATGGGAAAATATGGGAAGTGGGGGGGGAGACAGAAGCCCAGAACATATGGGAAAATATGGGGAATCTTTTTATTTGTGTGTATTTATTTGTGTGTCCTGTGGCCCCTTCAAAGACGCTGAAAGAAGGACCACCGTGGGCTCGGGAGGATATCTGGTGCTCGGGCCGTTCCACCGTTCCTTCCATGTAGGCCAGGGGGCCCCTTGGGCCATCTTGGACGCCCTGACCGCTGGCCAGCCCTCTCCAGGCCCACGAAATGGAGCAGGGGGCCCCTTCGGGGAAGGGGTGGGGGGCGCGGCGGTGTGCGGCGGTGCGTGGCGCCACCGAGGCCAGGGCGAGCTGGACCAGGAGGCTGCCACTCCCCTGAGTGGCGCCGACGACGACGACGCCGACGACGACGACGACGCCGACGACGCCGACGACGACGACGCCGACGACGTCGACGACGCCGACGCCGACGACGCCGACGCCGACGACGACGACGCCGACGACGACGACGCCGACGACGACGACGACGACGACGACGACGACGCCAGCGCCGACCGGCCCCAGGGATGTGGCCACGACCTCCGGGGCCCACGCGTCAAGCAAAGTGGAGCAGCCGGATGTCTGGGGAGGGCTGCTGTTCGCAAACGTTCGGCCTCTGCATGGAGGCCCCTGCCGGGCCTTCGGTGGGGGCCGGCTTTACAGAGACGCCTCGGGACGAAAGGCCAGTCCAGGGGAAGGGGTCGATACCCCTGAGGGTCGACGTTCCCAGACCCTCGACGTCATGATTTGTCAGAACGTCGACCCTCAGAGGTCTCGACCCCTTCCCCTGGACTGGTTTTTCATCCCGAGGCGCTTTTTGACGGTACCGAGGGCCGGTAAGGGTCTCCGGAGGCAGAGAGTATGCCCGAGGGGGTCTGGGAGGGTCGACGCTGCGAAAAAGTCATGGCGTCGGGGGTGTGGGGAGGGTGGGGGGCAGGGGACCCTGAGATCCGACGTTGCCAAAAAAATGCAGCATTGCAGCAAATCACGACCAGACCCCCCGGACCCCATCCTTCCTCGTCATTCTTCGAACCGGATCGATCTGCGAGGGCCCCGGGGCCCGAGATGCGGCGAAGACGGCCGCCTCGAAGAAACGGAGTCGCCAGGACCTCCGGGGAGGAGGCTGGGGACGGTCTGGCTTCGGGCTGCGCGCAGGCGGCCGCCCCCTGGCTTGGCATCGCTCGGACGTGTGCATTTTCCCTTCGGGGACCATCGAGGAGCATCCTTGAGCATTTGGCGAAAAAGCCACGCACGGACCCGAAGAAAGCACAGGGAAGGGACGTCCGAGCGATGGCCCCCTGGGCGGCCCTTAAGGCTGGCCCCGGCACGCCCCCCGGGCAGGCCCTGTGGGGGGGGGGGGGCTCCCCGCAGCCCCCCCCCCGACAGCAGGCCCCCCCCCCGAGTCTGCTCCGGGGCGGTCTCGGCACCCCGGAGCTCCGAGCCCAGACTTCACGTCGGGCCTGTCCCCCATACAGGGGGATTTTCGACGAGAAACAAAACATACCCCAAACATGCCCAAGAAAGGCCAACAAATATTCAAAAGATAGTCCCCAGACTATTTTTGGACTATTTTTTGATTTTATTTTTGGGGCATTTGTTATTTTTCGTCGACAATCCCCCTGTATGGGGGACAGGCCCGAAATAAGCCCAGACATGACCGCGTGGTGAAACAGCTCAGGACGGGAGGTGTTCGGGCCATGCTCGGCCCCGCCGGGGGGGGCCCTCTCGCTGGGCCCCGGGACCGTCAGTTGAAGGGCTCGGGACGAGGAGCCGGTCCCCGGGGAAGGGGTCGGGACTTGCAGGGGCGCCGTCCTGACAGAAACGATCCGGACGTCGCACGTCTGGGCGGATCGTTTTTTTTTTTTTTTTTTTTTTTTTTTTTTTTTTTTTTTTTTTTTTTTTTTTTTTTTTTTTTTTGTTTTTTTTTGTTTTTTTTTGCGATCTGGCGGCTCGTCTTGGACCTCGGCCTTGGGGGCCCCTTCTCGGGCCCGAGGCGGAGCCGGGCCGAAAGGCCGCCCCGGGGGAAGGGTCGACTATAGACGTGAGAGTGACCTCCAGTGCGGGCCCATTGGGGTCCCCCGATCGCCGCACGAGATGCGATGGTAGCGTCTTGCGCGCCTGTGTCTGGTCCCTCGGTGGCCCCCAAAAAGCCGCGCACCAAAGGTCACTCTTACCCAGGGTCGCTCTTGAGTATAGCCGAAAAGGGGTCGGGACCTCTGGGGCTGCGGATGGAAAACATCATAATTACTGGCGGATGTCTGGCTGGGGCGCCGAGCGCTCCTGAGGCGCCGCCGGGCCCAGACCTCCCGGCTGCTCCAGTTTTTTCGGGGCGTGGCCCTGGAGATCCGGACCGCTTCCCCAGGGTCAAGTCGGGCCTGTCCCTCTAGAGGAGGATTATTCAAAAATTGGGAAAAATATAGAGGGACGATTTGTTGTCACTACTTTCCACCATTTTTGCTTATTGTTTGGGTATTTGTCATGTTTCCTCCAAAATCCGCCTGTAGGGGGACATGCCCGACCTAGCCCCAGGGCCGGTTTTTCCTTCTGAGTCGTGCTTTGACGCTCCCGAGGCCCGGCGAGGGCCCCCTGAGGCCGAAACCGGCAACACAGAAGCCGCGCGCTCCGAGTTCTGTTGGGGCGTCGGATCTCCGGGGAGGCGGCGCCAGGGTGTTGAGGCCGCCCTGGGCTGCTCGGGAGGCCTGCTGAAGCCAGCTGGGCCGGGGAGAGCATGCAACGCACGGAGTGACTCGGGTAATTCTTCAGTGGCGAGCTGGATCCGTGAGAGGATCCGCCTGGCATGTCGATGAGCAGAGGCTTCGGTGCCTCTTTCTGGGTTGAGGCCAGCCGGGACTGCCCCTGGGGGGGGGGGGGTCGGGGCCTGAGAGACGGGGGTCAGTGCAAACGGGGGTCAGCCAGAGCGCCAGATGCTGCAGGATCCTGCGAAGACACCCTCTGGCTGACCTGGGTCAGCGAGCCGCTCGTGGCCGCGAGGCGGCCGCGCACATTGGCTGACCCGTGTTTGCGAAGACCTGCGTTGCAGTTTTTGTTCCTGTACTGCAGTTTTTTCGGGGGTGGACAGAACCCCCACAGTGACACGTCGATGAGTGAATTGCCTGTTTTTGGTTCTTGAGAGGGCGCCGTGGCCGTTGTTTCCCAGGCTTGCGCCCGCCAGGTTTGGGCCTCAGGTCGTTTTCACTAAACCACGTTTTGCTAAAGTGGGGTCTGTCCATCCCCGAGACTTGAGTCGGGCCTGTCCCCCTACAGGGGGCTTTTCGACGAAAAATAAAAGATACCCCAAACATGCCCCAGAAAGGTCAAATGATACCCAACAAATAGTCCCCAGAGTATTTTTTTTTTGCATTATGTTGGGGGTCTGTCCATCCCCGATTTTTGGTTTCCTGCTGACCCGGCCAGCGCCAGAGCCGACCAGCAGCAGTCGAATTTGGATGTTTTTGGTATTGCTGAAAGGCTTTTTGAATCATGTAGTTCTTACGCGCGGAATCCGGATCCCTGACAACTGATTGCGATTCGGCTGAGGTCAAAGATGTCGATCCTTCAGCCGGCAATGGGGCGAGAATGGGCAAAGATACCTTCTCGCAGCCACCTGTGGGATCCTCAGTGCCTCGTTCCACCAGGACTGCCGCACCAACCACAGGCTCTTCATTGCAGCGTGTTCGTCCTCTACGCGCCCAGCGTGGGAACCTTCCAAACGGTAGCGTCTCCCGTGCTGGTTCCGATTGTGACTCTGATCCGGATGGAGTCCCTGAGTTTCCTAATCTTCAAGCGC